GGAATTTAAAGATCATAGAATATTAGGGTTGGAAGGGACTTCAGGAGGTCATCTAGTCCAACCCCCTGCTCAAAGCAGGACCAATCCCAGACAGATTTTTACCCCAGTTCCCTAAATGGCCCCCTCAAAGATTGAACTCACAAGCCTGGGTTTCGCAGGCCAATGCTCAAACCGCTGAGCTATCCCTATCCTATTGTATAGGAGCTGGCATAGGTGATGGAACTAGGGATGCTGGGGTGCTGCCGCACCCTCTGGCTTGAAGTGGTTTTCATCATATACAGAGTTAACAGTTTGGTTCTATGGCTCTCATTACCCCTGGGAGATGAGATAAACCATTGGGTGATGGATATAGGTACTAGCTATTTGTACCAGATACATTAGAAAAGGTGGTTCTGAGGTTGTCATGATTTTAAAACTGCTGGACATTTTGGGGTTGCAGAAACCCTACCTAAGGTAAGGGAGAATTTCTGTTGGGTAGAATGCAGGCTGGATTTATAAAATTGGTGCAGGAAATACAATGCTTGCATTATAAAGAAGAGCCCCCTAAAACTGGGAGAGCTGCTTTGCAGCAGTATCTTGTGGGGTATCTGGTAATCAATAGTGGCTGGTAGCTATGGACCGCTTCACAGAATGGCCTGAGGCTTATCCAATAAGAAATCAAGAAGTTGTTACAGTATTAGGGGACCTAGTGAATGAATTTTTACCAGATTTGGGGTCCTGAGTGAGTTTCACACAGATCAAGGGAGAAACTTTGAATCCAGTGTTTAAACAGATTTGTATAAGATTCTAAGGATCCACAAAATTCTCACCACCACAGCACACCCAGAATCTAATGGGATGGTGGAAGGATGCAATAGGACTCTGGGGGGTTCAGCTGGCTACTTTGGTAGAACAGTACCAAACAGAGTGGAACTAGCAAAAATCCCATTCCTTTTGATAGTGTGACGTTGTGCAGTTTATATGGTTTCATAAAAACTTGATAATAAGGCAATATAATGTAACTGGAATAGTTTTAGAAAAAATACGGTAATAAGTGAATGTAGTGTAACTGGGATATGCTTCATGCAAAAAGTCTCTTGTAAGGTATCATTACAAAGCTTATAATCTACTGAGTATGATCATCTGATTTGTATAAATGTACCACTCTTGTATCTAAAACTAGAAATATAAAATGTAACTCTGAGGGCCTATTGTAATTATGTAAAGTGTGGGCCATTAATGATGGTTTGGAATCTTCATAACTCCCATTGTCTGCAGATGGCTGTTTACCTGTGAGTCTCCCTGTATATGTGTGTGCTGGCAAGTGAGTAATGAAGTCTTGCAGTGACATGTGATCATGTTACCTGAACTGGAATCCATCTTTAACCTGGTGCTTTTCCAGTGAGGGGGGTGGAAACCCAGAGGGACAAAGGGTTCCCGCCTTATGCAAAAGATATATAAAGGGGTGGAACAGAAGAGAGAGGGAGAGGAGCCATCATGGAGAATCCCCTAGCTAACACCTAAGCTGGAACAAGAGTTGTACCAGGGGAAAGAATTGTGCCCAGGCCTGGAAGGTGTCCAGTCTGAGAAAAACTTACTGAAGCATCTCTGAGGGTGAGATTATCTGTATTTAGTTTGATTAGGCATAGATTTGCGCATTTTATTTTATTTTGCTTGTGACTTACTTTGTTCTGTCTGTTACTACTTTGAACCACTTAAATCCTACTGTCTGTATTTAATAAAATAACTTTTTATTTAGTAATTTACTCAGAGTATGTAGTAATACCTGGGGGAGCAAACAGCTGTGCATATCTCTCTATCAGTGTTATAGAGGGCGTCAATTTATGAGTTTGCCCTGCATAAGCTTTATGCAGGGTAAAACGGATTTATCTGGGTTTAGACCCCATTGGGAGTTGGGCATCTGAGTGCTAAAGACAAGCACACTCCTGTGAGCTGTTTTTAGGTAAACTTGCAGCTTTGGGACAAGTGATTCAGACCCTGGGTCTATGTTGGAGCCAGACTGGAGTGTCTCGCTCAGCAAGACAGGGTGCTGGAGTCCTGAGCTGGCAGGGAAAACAGAAGCAGGAGTAGTTTTTGCACATCGGGTGGCAGCTCCCAAGGGGGTTTCTGTGATCCAACCCGTCACAGATAGTTTATAGGATAGCAGTCATTGAGAGTACGCAGTGTACCCTAAGATTTCTCATGTTTGGGCATAAGCTAAGGACGGCAGAAAAATTCTTGTCTGGAGTTCCTGAAGAGGAACAAATGGATTGGAACCATATGGACTATGTAAAAACCCTACAATCCAAAATTGAAAAAGTTCAAACCTTTGCTAGGGAAAAGTTGATAGCCTCTGATAAGATAAAAGGTTTGTATTATGTAAGTTCATATGGGGAAACTTTTAAAAAGAGGGGACCTGGTCTGGTTACACAATCCTAGAAGAAAGTAGTGTAGGAGCCCTAAATTGGATAAACCTTGCGAGGCACCCTATACAATACTGGCCCAGATAAATAAAGTGGTGTACAGGAACCAGTTGGGTCCCAGTACTAAACACAGTTACCTATAAGGACCATTTGAGAAGATATCAGGGGAACAAAATTTCAGCTTGTCTGCTTCCTGAATCTGAGGTTGTAGCTGTGGAAAGTAAGGCTAGAAAAGTTGTTACAGAGGTGAATGCCCCATTAAAACAAAATGTGCAGGGTCTGTCTCAGCTTACAAATTCCACAAAAACAATAGATGTTCTTCAGGGGCTGATTGAAAGGAAACCCGGGAAGAGAAAAGCCCCAAAGAGTTTTGGGTGGGAATAAAATTCTTTTGGGTATGATGATGTGAAAACATCTTGATAGAAAACACTGTACATATGTAAATAGTCAACCTTGTATAATTTTTAATTTATTTCTTTTATTTCTGTTTGGGATGGGTTATTGGATATTGCCATTTTAGGCTTCATTGGGACGATAACCAAAGCTGAGTTGGGGGTGGGGGTGTTCCAAGCTGGGGAAGTCTTGTTATGGGTTGAGTTAAAACCTCCTGGAGATTGATAGGTGTGAACTCGCCCTTCAATTAACATAATTGTAAACACAAGCCCTCACCTGAGAAAAAGAAGCGTGTGAACCCACCCCAGTGCTTTTTTCCCTCTGGCAAGTGTGGGGGAGGAGGAGGGAAGGCAGAGCACAGAGAAATCAGAACAGAGAGTGAGGTACTAGAACCTGGTGACCACAGTCAGGGCCGGCTTCAGGCACCAGCCGAGCAAGCTGGTGCTTGGGGCGGCAGCTTGTAGGAGGCGGCATTCCGCCCAATCCTAGGG